ACGCAATTGTATTATATGCATATACAATTAATTACCAGTTGCCAATAAATTTCCATCTCTCGAGAACGCGCAGCATGCTACATATCTATTATGCCCTGATAATATCGTCATTACTTTTCCCGAATTCTAAAAGTTATTATATTAACTTATTTTAGAATTTCAGAATACTTAAACTCGATCATAGAATCACAATGTCATCAACATTTGTACAAGTACATGTACAAGTTCCATGATTTATTATTTTAGAGAACGGATGAAGTGATAATTATTAAAATAAAGAGTTATATCTTTATATTTGGTAGAATTAAAGCCAAATATATATATATATATTTTATACCGTTTCCCAAATCACTGCTGTTTTGTCAAGACTACTGCTGGCAATGAACAATCCGTTTACGTTGAAACAAACACAAGTTAAAGCACTGCCGTGTTTTTCCATGATTCTGCAGAGATTTATATTGACAGAGGACGGTTGAGTTTCACATTTCGTTTGTATTATAGTTATTTCCCATAATTTTACATAATGGTCATTACCGCAAGTAACTAGTTGATATAATTTCGTGAGCGGATCGTTACCTAAATATCAATTAAATTATATATATATATATTAGTAACCATAAGATCTTTATCTAATTATTTATATCTTTTTAAAACACGTATTGTAAAAATTTTTTATACATTACTTATAATCTTTTGAGAAGTTGAAAAATCACAAGAAACAACGCCTAGATCATGAGCATCGTCTACCCAGGCAAGAGCAGCGATTGTTTGATTATCGGAAAGGCACGAGTCGATGATGTCGGCGATGGAGAACAATTTCAAGACACCAAATGTACAAGTGGTAATCAACCAAGTAGAATCCGGTGAAAAGCATACACTTTGCACAGCACCATCATGTTTTTGAAAACACCTGAATCGCCGATAAAGATAGATTTCATTTGTGTAGGTTCATGTATGGTAATAAATAAAAATCGTAACAATGTTGATCGGTAAGAATGAAATACGAACTGATAATTCGTGAATCTATATTACGCTATATAACGTTACAATGCTCTTGCCTAACTAAATTGCGGCGAACCAAATCCCAAAGACAAACTTGTCCATTATCTCCAGCAGTTGCAAGTAACGTTGAATCGGGTGAAAATCTACAAACTCTCACAGCCTCTCCACCCACTTGAACCATGGTATGAATTTTTGATCCTGTCTGAAAACACATGATATTTATCTATCTAATATTATCTTAAATATCGTAATGATAGTATTAATCATTTTAATTTCGGATAATAGATAGAAGAAAACAACCAACAACAACTTACTCGTAAATTCCAAAGTAACGTTGTACCATCTATACTGGCCGAAGCTAACATCGTTGATCGAGGACTCACTTTGACAGATGTAATTCCATACTTGTGCCCTTGCAATGGAGAAAAATATGCTTCTATGTATCCTGTGCCGGATCGCCATTGCCAAACTCTAACTCGTTTGTCTCTGGAAGAATATAGAAAGATTCATCGATTATTTATTTCGAAAAAAGTTTTTCTACATATTTACAAATCATGAATTTTTTATAACTTTCTTACCCGGATCCAGTTACTAACACGCAATCACCGGCAAAATCAACACTAGTTACATCATTAGTGTGAGATGTTAAAGTTTGTAGAATTTGTACATTTTCTATGATGGTGGTCATATTTGCACGTGCTAATTTCGTTACTAATATTTTTCATGTACCTATTATCAGCGTTACAAGTATTATAACAAAACGCGATAATACCGTATAATAAGTAAAACACGGAAAATAATCAAACACAATAACTAGATTATATTTTATCCCTATATATTTTCATTTTCAACTTTAAAAGTTACGAATAACTTTAAACTGCTGATACGCTTATTTAGATTCCTATGTTATAAGTGGACAAATTCTAGTAAATGTCAAATATTTTAAGCAAAATATAGAGAATACGTGGTGTAAAGAAACGTGGAAAATTCCGTGAAGACCTTGATATTGTTCGATATAGGTATTATATATAAGTTTAATAAACGTGGCTCTATTGGATAGGATATAGTCCAATTGTAATAAATTAAGCAAAAGACTGTATATCTATTTCATATAAAAGATAATTACTATGATATATAATAATAATCGTATATAAAGTATGGACTGTTTATTTCAAATACTTTACATCACGTAAAAATATTTTTTCGAAGGAGATAATTAAATAAATATGATAAAGAAATATTTACATGTTAAAAACTATTCACTTATATCAACAAAGAGAAATTGCGAACATTAATGCAACTTTAATTCGAACAATTCGAAAGATAGGTTCATCGAAAATGTGAAAACATAATATCTTGAACACTTACTTTCCAAGGAAGATTTATTTCGCTTAATTATTTGACACATGTCGTTTCTTTCAAGTGACAAAACTGAACTCGGCAAAATAAAGTTGTGTGTGCATTCCATAATAAAACGTCAACGCATGTCTGCTACGGTTCTAAAATCGATATTTACTGGGTAACTAAGTACAAATAGTTGTAGAATAACATGGATGATTTTGTATCGGTATTGAAATTGTCATTGTATATCATTATTATCATTATTTTATTTAACCATATATCGTTACTTTATTTTTTGTCGACTTATTTTATTTTTATATTGAAAACAAAAATAATTTTGTAGCTTCTCTCAGCTTTTTTTAACGGAAAAGTCTGTTCTATAGCTATCAAATTTATCTCTTGCGAAGTTATATTTTCTTTAAAGTTAGATCTCTAGTTTTTTAAATAATTAAAAAATATTAGTTAAAATGGATACATTTTCGACGTTTTTTTATCTTTAATCATTATTTTATATGTAAAATATTTAGATGTATATAATCTAACTACTGAATTATAATATAAGTAGTTATATCATTTTATTCAGAAGAATGTTACATAATTTCATGTTAAGAACAACTAAATAACAATTATTATAAAGATATGAAATATTTCGAAAGTTGAAAAATTACAATTTTTTTTTTTGAAATGATTTTTTCAAAAACTGTGAAATTCTAGAAAAAAATGATTTACAGATTAAAATATATAAGAAACATTAATTAAAAATTATAAAATTATAAAATTGAAGAAAAGTTATTTATTGAAATATTATATGATACTACTCTATTATGATCCGTGTATATTAATGAAGTAATTATTTATTAATGCATTATTATAAAATATAGTTTCCTAAAATATATTTTGTAAATTGTAATTTAGAAATTAATCATTAAAGAAAAATAATATTTATTATCAAAATAATAAAAATATAATATTAAAATATATATTATAAAATATAATATATAAATATAAAATATAATATTACATTTATTTGTGTATTTCTTCAATTACAAAAAATATTTGTAATAAGCAAAAAATGGAAAAGACAAATTCATTTCATTCGTTTTCAATGGCTATATTTAATAGTAGGATCTGCAACGTTTCTGTTATCAGATATTGATATACTTTCTATTTAATTTTTGCCAATTTATCGTTAATTATGTGTAAAATCGGAATAATTTCTATCAAAAACTAAATTTGCTATATTTTTGTTGTTAATTTGTGTTAATTTATTAACACAAATATAGTAGATCTTGTATCAAATCTGTAATCTTTCTTTTTGTATCAAATCTTTCTGTTGATA